CAATCATTATACAGAAATAATAAAATCATGATCCGAATGCTAAGAAATGGAACAGAATCAGCATATACAAACCAGGGAGTAAGACAGGGATGCCCGCTCTCGCCAACGCTTTTTAATGTATATCTGGACGTGATCATTAAAAAATGGTTGAAGACTTTAAATGATGTTTTTAAGTTCAATAATGTCGAGATCCCAACATTTCTTTTTGCCGACGACCAGCTTATCATAGGAAAATATGAATATGAAATTCAAATAGCAGTTCACAAGTTAAGTCAGGTTGCTAATGGGTATGGTATGAAAATCTCACCAAGTAAAACAAAAGTGATGGCATTTAAAGGACTTGAACCTTTAAGAGCAAAGATAGTTATATATGATCAAATAATTGAACAAGTTAATGAATTTCAATATCTTGGATATCATTTTATTTATATAATATCAAGGGACATGGAAATAAAGCTGAACAACTTCACATATTTCTGTGGAACGTTACAGCGAACTCTACATCATAATGCGCAAAAGGAAACTCTTCTCAGATTTTACAAAGTTTGCCATTACTACTTTATGGAAGTGATTGCTGGACATTGACATAAGATCAGCTGCGCCGAACTGAATCTGCAGAAATGAGATTTCTTCGTTTTGTGGCAGGATATTCACTATTAGACCACAAAACAGTGTAGATATCAGAGAAGAACTAAATGTTGAGCCGGCTATAGATACATAAAGAAATATCGAGAAAACTGGAAAGATCGTGTCCTGAGAATGCCAGGACATAGAATAAGTAAAACTATTCTTCAAAATGTACCTAAAGGAAAAAGAAGTGTAGGACGTCCCTTGAAGAGATGGCATGAACAATTCTGAGACGGAACAGACCAAGAGGTCTAATCCTTGCTATCAATGATGATGATGATGATGATGATGATAATAATAATTAACCGAACAATAATTTTATTAAGCTGAGCTAATAACATATATTGATAAATGAGTGAACTTTAGTTCAGTATTATAAAATGTGCGGGATGTTTAGCGTTATTGTAAATATCCTTATTAATATTCTTTCAATTATATTTTGCTTTTAAAGTTATTTACTTAGAAATTAAATAGTTACATAAGTAAAATGATAATTCATGACACTCAAATTTTAACTCTCAAAAAGCAAGAGTATTTCCAGTTTATTATAGATGTAGATAGAGGTAATGGTCGTGATATGGTCCATTTACTCGTATATTAGACCACTTGGTATCTTTTGATACATTGCAAACTTTCTAGCAAGAACGATCTTAGCAATCAGTTTAATAACGCCCTTTTCCATCATAGCTCTGTTGAGTTGTAAATAAGAGCTGATGCGAAACAGAAGTGTTCCTGTTTTCTCGGTTCTAAAAGCTTTGGAAGGTAAGTCTTTGGCTTTTAATTATAGTTTGAGTTCCCTTAGACTGATTATAATTCTCAACGAATGAAATACATTGCTTTTTTTCACAAAAAACTATTGAGATTTCGGTGAAATTTACTGGAAGACGTTAAAGCACTGCCACTCACAAGTGCAGTAATGTATACAAAACACCAGAAATGTGTATATTAACGGGATGAAAGGTATTATCTAGAGCCGTTTTCGCTAAAATCCTTATATTTTTTAATATTGCACATATTCGAAGCAATATTGAGCGAAAACTAATAAAATTTTCAAAAAAACGTGCATGACCTAAACGAAAGAACTAATTATGACCAAAAAAGTTTAAAGAAAAATCTTTATCTTCAATGTTGTGGTTGTAGGAAGACGCCGAAAGCATTTCAATCCCTTTCAATTCTCAAAAATTCAGAGTTATCAGTGAAAATCGGACCTACGCCATTTTATTAAATGTATTTCAGTCTCTTTTACCAGAAACTTAAAGAAAAAAATTGAGCTGTTTTTGAGAACTTTGAAAATGTTCCAAGAGCTTCATGTAAAGTGCCACCAAAAATTAATGAATGTTTTTCAAAATCGCAGAGCGTCGACTCAGGCCGACAGGGGAGGATCAACAAGGCTTTATTCAGTTTGGAAAAAATTGTGCGCATAGTTTGGGCGCTAGTGTTGTTTACATACACCAGACGGACGGACGGACGGACGGACGGACGGACGGACGGACGGACGTTTAAAAAAAACAAAAACTTTTTCGGTATCAGGAGACCCCAAAACGTGTTACCGTTGACATCTCGAAATCGATTTTCCGTAGCATTACATAACATTCTTTACACTACGTATTTGCTCCGAATATATTACGTATGTATACGAGAAAATAACTAGTGGTGCTACAAATATCACAGACTTTCTCGTACTAGTTATTCTAATTTCGTTGCTCAGGGCAAACTTACATTCTTGTCCAATTCTCTTGCCAGTTACCATCTATCGTCGCCCAAAGTCCATTACAGTAGAATCGAAATATCACTTGAAGAATATTTAAGAACAGTAAAACCTCGTCATATAAGTAAATTTTTGTTGAAACCTTTGAAGCCGTTTTTAAGAATATGGCGCTTAACCGTTACTGAAAAAATTTAAAGCTCTTTTTCACAGAAATCTTTTGAGCTTTCGAATAGCTCCACACATTTTGTACAGATAGTGATAAATACACTATTTAATATGACAAAGTTGATTTTGCGATGACATTTTGTTTTTTCACAAATCACACAAATGAAATTTTTTGAAATATCTCTCATACTATTTTGAACATAATATTTAACATAAATTTATTAACATAAATAATGACAATTAAACACAGGGCATCTCATGAAATCTGATAACATTCTAAACAGTACCTTTCATTAGCAGTGTCGTCCGCATGTCTTTTCACAATTCCCGCTTCGACTTCGCTCGACAAGGACCACTTCGAAATATTTACAACTAGATCAGGTTACCGTGTGGCGACTTAGCACGTTCCCGAACCGTTTTGCCAGGAATGTCAAGAGTTCTATCGTTCACAACGATTCAAAACATTTTACTCGCACATTTGCTTTAGAGTATTTTCCATAAGCTCGCTGTAAAAATTTAAGGCTAAAAGTACAAGTCTCTATACTCATTTCTGAAAACCATCTAGATAATTTGCCCTATACTGTGTGACGAAAGTTCATTCGACACAGTTTCTTTTAAGCATTTTTCTGTGACTTTTTCACTGAATTCATAGATTTCTCGCGTTTAATGATTTCAAAACTATTCATTGTTGTGCAAACACACATGACAGAAAAACGAACTCTTTTCAAACTTTGGTTTTCAAAACAAATTAAAATAGCCTACTACATACGTTTACAAAATACATTTGGGTTATCACTTACTTTGGAATGGATTTGTAATTGCTACTCACGTGAATATAAAATTAATACAATTCTTATAAATTCAACAATGTTTTGCTCTATCACGTCCAGTTTTTAAGATATCAACAAAATTAATTTTCATGGAACACCTTTAATCAATTCTTTTAGTATCTTGTTTTTTATAATAGAAACAATATTTACGCATTTTTTACTTTCATGAACTATTAGAAAATTGCTTAAATATTTTGTTAAATAGTAAAACATGTTTAAATGGTAACATAAATCAGAAACGTGGCCGGTCCGGATAGCCGAGATCGTTAAGGCAATATTGGCTGACTACTGCTGGACACTTCAGCGTGACATAACAAATGCTCAGCACAAACGCAAATGTACAGCCAAGAAATTCAAACCAAATACACCTTGGATTAAGTATTTTCAGTATGTATGTATATTATGTGACCATTAGAACTTGAAATATATATTACTTTATAATATACGTGTCTTTTCACTCAATCTCACTATTTTCTTAGCCAATTTCATCTTCATTCGTACTCCATGCAACAATAATGATTTCAATGAAATAAAAAATGGTTGAAGTGGTATATCTAAAAAAAAAGTGGGTGCTGGAGACAAGACGTTGTTCAAATTGTGAATCAGCACGTTCAACTTACCTTAGAATAAGTGTTAGATACCAGATATCCGTATTTTTTTTAATTGTTGTTTTGTGTTATCGAACTTAAATAATAGTGAATTGAATGTCTTGCTTTCAAATAGTGGGGTTACCTTTATAATATAAACATTCTTAGTTTTGAATACTAACATCACATCTTCTGGAACCGTAGACACAGTCTACGTAAACGTTTTCCACTTTCATAAAAAAAACAAACACATCAATTGTGAAATCTGGTGAATGTGTAGGTAATTTTACACATCTCCCCGCCCTAAAAATTGGTTTGAATGTTCTTTTTTCAAAATTGTCCTTGATATATTGGTAAAAGTGCGAGGCAACAGTCGTGCTGAAAATATATTTTAGAGGAGAAGTTCTACAATACACATTTTGTTTATTTTTTATACATTTGTTACATTAATGAATTCAGATGAAGGTAGATTAACAATAAAGAATATTATAAATTTGCTACCATACTGTGATCTCATTAATTATCTCGAGATATTATTTTTTTAAATTTATTATGTCTCACCCACATTTAGATCATTAGCAACTAAATAAATACAAATTTTCACATTTTACATTAATATTATTAAGATTTTACAATATTGAAGTAACATTACATTGGTGATTATGGATACATAAATATAAAACAAACCTTAAAATGACATCAATGATAATTATTAAAGAGGAGGATAATTAGAAAGGAGTAAGATAATGTATTATTCTAATACAGTTAAATATTGCCCAAAACACCTATTTGAGATATTATTGTCAAACATTTTAAACTATTGAATCCTTTCCCTTCCACTTGAAATATTTTAAAATGTAGGGTCGTTTCTGTCGCCTTTTCAAATCGAGGTCAATACTTCTTGAGTTTGAAAACGGTCTTTATTATTTTCTTTCTTATTCTGTCCGTTTCTTACGTCGTTGTTTTCGTTGATTGATTTTTTTACATTGATGTCCGTCTCACGCAACCATCCCCCCGCGCGCCTTCCATTTCAGCCCAATCAAAAATATACCCTTTTATAAAACAACATTCAACACTTAAAACCAAATGTCAGATTCTACTATACAAATCTATTATCCTACCCACACTAACGTATGCTTGCCCAGTGTGGGGAAACGCTGCCTCTACCACCATACAAAAATGCAAATAGTCCAAAATAAAGTCGCTAGAAGTCAATTTAAGCTCCATGGTATGTACCTCAAATCAACCATCAAATTCACAGAGAACTCCAAATGGAAACCGTTCTAGAACATATAAAAAGAGTAGCAAATAATTTCTATTCTTCCCTTCCCTTATCTCATCCCGCTCTGAAATTCCACCTAGGCCTAACAGCAAACATCCCAAGTCGAATCAAATCGAAATTTCCCAAAGATATGCTTAAACCTGCCTAAACTAATAATATCTTCCCGTATCTCTGTATTACGTTTCCCTTCTTATTGGTGGACAGGGCAATACAGAGTTTATCCCTCCCCCCAAAAAATCAAGATTAAATTTCAGTAGCTTCTAGAAGAAAACGAATGTTTAACTTCAATTTGTCAAGGAATGCCCAAATTCCAAAAAAGTCGGCATGTTAAACTGAAGCCCCTCGAAAGAACTTAGGTCGAACGAGAAGAAATATCAACCCAAAGGTCTCGGACTCGCGTAGGCCGAATGTCCCAAAGATCATCGATGCACGGGCTTCTCAAATATAAACATTCCCGTACAAACAACTGTTCATATTTTCAAATCAAGCGTAAAAATTATTTGTTACTCTATATTTCTTTTAAGTTATTAACAACTAAGATATCACTGTATTCCTCTTCCTATAACATATTCATGTCAGTTAATAAATCTACAGGTATATAGTTCGATTTAAAAAAATCAAATATTGTTCAATTTCAAAGAATATCTCTACTGCACATTTGCCTCCGGGATTAAATGTTAAATTGATCTATATTCAAACTTCGCTAGTTTTCAATGATTAATAAAAATCGGAAATGAAAATATAAGCTTCAGAATGTCGCACCAGGGTGTTTTAACATTATTCCTTCGATCGCACAGCGATTCTCGGCAGCAGTTAGCAGTCTATCAAGTAGTACGTCTTTTCTGCAATTGTGAAGGTAATAGTGAAATCGGTGGAATTGAAAGAATCTCCCCACGAGTTCAAACAGGCACTTCAAAAATTTCAGAAAACAACAATTTGATAGAAAACGTTCTTGAAACAAATTTTTTAATTAATAATAATAATGCGCTATGTGCCACCGTTGTCAAAATGCATTTTGCAAAATAATTTGTTTACAATCGATTTCCTCGCAAAACGATAAAGATATCGGAATGCAGTTTGCACCACTGAATAGAATGTAGACAAAACGAAATACAATATTACGTTCACATTTACAGGGCAACAGTTTTGACGTTTTGTAATTTATTCGTAACGTAGGCAAATTAAAATATCAAAACGTCCATTAGCAACAATTGTCGAAACAAAAATCCATTAGCAACAATTTTCACCGATTTTCCGTAAGTCAGAAATGGTACACACAAATAATCGGAGAAAAGCGAGACACTGCAATACGATCTGAACAGTACACTTGACTGCAAAAAGGGAATGGATTGTCTATAAAACGGATGAGTGTTGGCATCAAATGCTAATTTCCAGTAAACAATTGCGTATCTCGTAAACGAAAGGCGATAGCACCGATCGGATTGCAGAATTTCGCAACTTGTAGAAAGGTAATTGTGATGAAAGAATAAAAAAGAATTGAAAAATTTCATTTATAAACAATTTCCAATTTTTGCAACTCCTAAGTGGAAAGGGTTCTCTAATATCACAGAACCGAAAATTGCGAATTAACAATTTTGCAACCATTAATAATTTTATAAACAATTCCAAATGTGTGCTATTTCTGCCGGGACTGCTCCAAATTGAACATTGCAAAATAACAATTTTGACAAGTGATGCAAATCGATTACTTAATATCTAGCTTAATCGTTACTATGATGATAAATATGCAAGTGATCTTTGAATTTTATTCAAATGGTTCCCTAGGAGTCCTCTATCGACACTATTATGCAATGTTTGCAAATTTTATAAACATACAATTGCAAACTGCAATTATGATAGTTTTTCTTATTGATAAAATATACAGTAAACTGGACATTTGACATTTAATAAAATTCATGGATTGTGTATGAAAAATAATATTGCATTTAAAATGTTTATGAAGAAGTAATTGGCCTAAAATTAGTATTCTTTTATCTCATTTCAACATACTTTCGTCAAAAAGAAATGTGTTAAAACTAGTGAAATGAATGCGTTTGTACATTTATTTCAATGAATTTACTTTCATGAACATAAAATTGTTTCATTCCATGTATTTGTATTCGAAAATATTTCCATATCTGAACTAGGGACGTCTGCCATTTCCTTCTTCATAGTTTTGTGAAGCCACACTCCCTTCCGTTAAGATTGGCTACGGTGGTTTGTGAGACCCGCCTGCGACGTTTCGTGATGATAAGGGCTGCCCAAGCCGTGTAAAAGATGAACTTAGCTGCAGACGGCCGCTATCAATTTTTGTTTCCACAACTGTACCTAGGAACACCTTGTACACAAACAAACTATCTAAAAAAGAAAATTATATAATGTTATTAAAAATTATTATTCTTACACAAAAACATGCTGAGAGGTGGTGTACCCCAAAAAGAGGAGGATCCAAAAGAAGAGGGGAAAAAATAAAATATTTGAGGTGTCCCTAGGTACGACCATTTGCCCTAAACAACTGTTTCATTAATTGTCAGTTTTTATATTATTTTATTCCTCTTATCACTTTATTAACAACTATGTTTAACGTTGAAATATAAGAATTGATATAAATAATTTAATTTCAAAAATTAAGCCTATAAATAAAATCACTACTAAAAGTTTCTGATGATGATGTGCAGCAAAAAAATTCGTTTTATAGTCATTGCATAAAAATACTCATTAAATATATCTACTTCAAAAAGAGGAACTATTAATTCATAAAACTAGAAAATAATACATTTTAAAATATAATTATACAGTGTTTGTGTTTATATGTAAATAAAGCCAACTCTATTAATGAGTAATTTTCTAAGACATAATTTATTTTTGTATTTCCACAAACTGACGTAATGCTGACAAATGATCGAAGGTTCTTCGATAACTATGTTTTACTATGACGCACGCACATAGCATGGTTTATTCATGGAATCGGCATCAAATATGTCACTGAGAGCATTATATGTACAAGCAGCGCCTCCAATAACTCCTATTAATATAAGTTCCCACATGTAGACTCGAAGATACAATGGGATGGACCTGTGAACATATTAAAGCTTTATTCAGCCTTAATGCAGTTTAACACACGTATTATTCTGCTAGATCATGCAATTTCTTCACCAGGTTTGCTTCTTATCGTACATTTTATTATATACATATTATGATGCAAATGCACAGTACGTATGCTACTTCGGAATACGACACCTCGGATGTCAACCCCGGGCACTAAAATTCTCCGATTACTATGTACAGAAATAATGGGTTGTTCAGCAGACTTAACATTTTTTCAATTACCCGTTTCGATTAATATATTCTAAAACGAAAATACAGTGCCAAATATTAGAGTATTATATTTAATACCATTATTCCCAATAGACCATTTGGGAAATATTTATTCAAAAATACACAATTTTAATTAAATCAGTAATACCAATTGATCTGGGAAATGTATGGATCCATTCCAAGATTGATCTGGTAATATCTATTTTCGAGAAAATAGTCTTAACGGTTGACCAGAGACGAAAGGACAAACACACCGAAAGAAAGACGGCAGACAGGCATTGTACAGTCAACTAATTTCTTGGCATCAAGGACACACAACACGTGAATAATGAGTACACAATATGTAAAGGGAAGTAATTTATAGACATAGGAAAAATATTTATCCACATTTTCGATACTTGGGTACTACAATACGAGGTCGTCTGTCGAAAAATCGTCGATTTTTGCCGCAGCATTAGAATACTTACTTTACTTCTCAAGTAAGTCAGAAGGCGATGTGTTAAAATGTAAGTGAGATGCAACATCGAAAAGCAGCTTTCAGGTAACACTTCGGGGTAATTTATAACAAATCTTGCCTAATTTATTCAGCTGTATTCTTTCGATCGATTATGACCTATAAAATTATACCTTTTCAACTTCACATTGAGACTAAACAATTTGAAATTGGGAACAAACAAAATTAAGTTGAGCCAAACAATTTCAAATTGGGAATAAACACATTGAAATCGAGACCAATCACTTCCAAATTGAGACTTAATAGGTTGAAACAGGAAAGTAAATAAAAATCAAGTTACAGCCATTTAAACACAAAAATGTGTTGATCACAAAATTTAGTAACAAATAAATACGAATTACATTTGGAATAAAAACAATGTTTCTGTTAACTGCATGACTACACACTGTCATATATACGCCTTTTCTAATAAATTTTCATTTCCCTTCTTTGAACGTTCTTTTGTTTATGAAATAAATAAATTAACATTTGTTTCATTCATGTACATTATAAATATATTATCTGCCTGAAAATTTAATTGCTGTAACACATATTCCTATTGTTTTCTTTTATTTACATCGCTGTTCATTTTGTCACGCTCTCTACGAATGTATTTTATTGTGAACATTAATAACCCATCCAAATGTTGACGCAACCATTCCGTAGCAACAATACCTTGTTGCTGAACTCCAAATGCTTCTCTTAATGTATTTTTTGGATTTTCCTCTATGTGCTGAACCATCAAATACTTCACTGTAACGTGTGTTCCACTGTAAATTTCAATCGTTTTCGTCCACCGCGTTGTGCTATTTCGTCTAGACTTTTTACCCACCGATGCAGTTGATCCCTTCACTCCAAGTGACCCCTCTCTAGGCTCCATTATTATTATTATTATTATTATACTACTGCACAAATTTGTATTTTGATCCTCTCGGCATCCTTTCTCTTTATGTTAATCATTAAAACGCATACACGGAGAAATATAGGTTAGTTTTATCACATCAACTACAGCCGATTCAACTTAGTTTTTTCTCGATTTGAAACTGTTACGTCTCAAATTGATTGTGTTTATTCCCAATCTGCCCGTGTTTATTCTCACTTTGAGTGTGTTAGTACCAAATTTAAAACTGTTTGGTCTCATTTTGAAGTTGAAAAGGTATAGTGGTGCTAAAACAGCACGAACTTTCCCGCCCGTATTTTCACGTAAAATTACGCAAAAAGTACTCAAATTTTCGAAAAATTGTATATGACATTAATTAAAAATCTATCTTTTGAAAAAATATTTATCTTCATAATTGTAGTAGTGGGAAGACGCTGAAAATATTTTTAATTTACGCAATTTTCGAAAAATTAGGATTTTTGACGAACATGAGACCTGCCGTTCTCTTGAACGTCCTTTACTTTATCCAACAAAACAAATAATCGAAAACGTTGAAGCCATTTCTTTGAAAATCTGGAAAATGGCCCAGGGACTCCATGTAAAGTTTTCCCAAAATTGAAATATCCTATTCAAATTAACGGGCTGCGACATTAACCAGATCTATAGAGGAATATCAATTTTCTAGAAAATCAGCTGAATGATTTATCCACTTTTTTGTTACCAGAGCCCTGTAATAAGAGTTTTTTTCTGCCGAAAATGCATCTTTTTTCGCGCAGCATTACATAACGTCCTCTCTACTGCGTAAGTGTGAGCGAGAAAGTAAAAGACAAGGCAGATGATATTCAGGATCAATCGTATTTAGTTTCTCACGTTATTTATAACTTACGCGATTTTCGAAAGTTGCAATAGTTCAACGAAAGCGAAAATTGTCTCATTTTTAAGCTTTGCTCTATCTGAGGGAAACATTTAAAGAAAAATATGGAGTCATTTTATAGAATAGTTTTTTACAAATTGCCATTACGTCAAGCAAAAATTACGTGAAAATTACTATTTATTCATGAGACATAGTGTATGACCTTTTTTAAAAACCTTTCTTTGAAGAACAGATCACGGCAAAATCTGTCTTCTAGATTGCAGTTGTTGGAAGACGCCAACCCCTTTTCCAATTTTCGAAAATTCTGAAAGTTCAAGGAAAATGAGCCGCGATTTTCTAGTCCATTGATCTAAGCAAGGTAAAAAAAAGGTTGGAGTTTTAGAAAATTTTGAAAATGTTGAGGCTTCATGTAAAAAACCAAGAATCAATATATCCGTTTCAAATTCGGAGCGCCTCGAGTTCAGCCAGGTGGATCAGAGAATATAAATTTTGGACAAAATCGGTCGGGCGGACGGACAGACGGAAGGGCAAATAGCCAGACAGACACAGACAGGCGTTCGGCGTCAACCAATTTTTCGGTATGACCCGCAAAACGTGTTTTCTGAATACGCAACATGTAATTTACTACATTTAGGAACGAAATTTATCCACTTTTTTTATACCAGAGTGCTCAAGACGAGATTATCTGTTGAAAAATCCCCTATTTTAACGCATCATTACAATACCTCCTGTTCACTACGTTCGTTCGTAGGTACGTACGTAGTTTGACTAGAAAGTTAAAAAGGAAAAGATAAGTGTGCAACAAAAGAATCTGCTAAGCTGGAGGGTGAAATAAGCAAACGTTGGTGAAAAACGGCCAGGATTTGTAAAGAGTAATGTCTTCAGTTTTAATTAGGAAAGAGCAAAGCAAAAGAATGCAGTGGCAATTAAAATGCTAAGGTATTTTATGGTGAAACGAATCAAGATACGAAACAACAGATTCGTAGATTACTCGAAGTAAAAGTGGTGAAATAAGAGAGAGAAAATATCTGCAATGCAGCAACATAAAATATTGAAGAATCTGTTTGAACGTGATGTTGAAACATTGGAGTTATCAGAGAAAATAAATCAGAATTATCGTTCGTGTCCGTTACATCGCAGTACACGCAAGTTAAAACGTAAGAAAAAGGAAAACAAAGAATCATATCAACTATAACCCTCCCGAAAAGTTAGTTACAATAACTGCATAGTTGTTTCATGGAAGGTGATCTGTTGAGCTTGACATGACATGAAGAAAGCAGTAATCGTTAATTTCTTCACGCCCATCACCATTGATACATTCCCACTTAATGGGATATTCTTTGCATGTATGAGAGTTCATTCAAAGCCTAAGATCTTCCAGTTCCCAATGAACATAGTTCAATATAGTTCATTTTAAGATTGAAGAATTCCTCTCCCAGTAGATATCTCTATATTAATATCTATTCTTTTTTCTACAAATTATTACCGCTTTCTCAGAACGATTTAACAATTCTTGTTGCATTTACCAATTCTTGTTGCATTCTTGTTGCATTTCAGTGCTTAGAATGTGTATTTGTTTAAGAGTTTACCTTGCACTATTTTTTTTCTCAGCTAGGAAAAAGTATTGACAAAATTATAAAAACACATGTGTAATACTACAAGCGTAAATTGAGAATGCAAGGTGAGATAGTTGCCCCCGTCCAGTACTCAGAGCTTCATATTTTCAAAATCATATAAAATGTTTAAAAATATAGCATGTTAAACGTTTTGAAACTTTGTTATTTCTACGGATCAACACACATGAGTGAAAATGACAGAAATAGAATTGTATTATGAATAATACTATGACAAAACTCTCCATTCTATGAAAATGAGTGAAGCTCTTCTCTTCGGAAGCGGTCTAGCGTCGCGCCCGCGACCTGGGCACGTGGGCCAGTGTCAAGGGCTTCATATACACCAAACTGCGCCAAAGTCACTATGTTCTTCGGGCAACTGAATATGAAACTCTAGTTTGCCAATATGAACTTTGCCTAGAAACTTGTAAAATCAGTTTTTTTCTAAATAATAACCTTCCTCTTATATTTTGGCCACATATGCTATAAAAGACTTCCAGATTACCTACATTTGTCCTGTTTTGTCTCTCTCCAACGAGGTAGACACGAGAGCACTACAAAATTGGGTGTTTCAAGCGACAGCCATATAAAAATGGGGAATGGCCCCATTGTACCTCAACAACAACTAAAAAACAATCCATTTCCCGAAGATGTTCACCTTCTATGAAGTCAAAGAGTATAAATTACTCTACAATTTGGCGGGCAACAATTCAGTTCTTTTCTCACGGAGATAGGTATTTGATTTCCCCATAAAATGCTGCAAGCAAGGTGGACAATTGCAATGAACGTTGTGCAACATCATTGTGAATATAACGAAAATTACTGTGGTGTCACATTTTCACTCTTCAGCACAGCACCTACGGCTTAACGACTCAAGAATAGAACGGGAAAAGGATGTGGCCACGATGTACCGAGACAACTAGGGACAGTCCAACAAACGGGTAGACAACGAGTTGGTTCCTATCAATCCAACAGCTCCGTTCCAAAGAATAGACGTTGTTAAGTGTCATTAGATCATCTTCAGTTTTTGACCTACGATCTATGTCCCTATTTCCTGTACTTACTCGACAATGGTATAAGGCAAGGAGGTAAAGCGTACAAAACAATATTCAAGTGTTAATTTTAAATACGGCATTTATGACGGGTCTTTACTGCGTAGTTGTTTTCACATTAATAATTTATTGGCATAATCCACCACGTGGTAGTCTTAGACATGAACAAAAAATATTGTCCTATAAATATTAGGCCTACTTGATACACTACACACTAACATACTTAGTCATTAGAGCTGGGAAGTTCGTGCAATGGCATGTTTTTTGTTAATGCTCATATTTTCATGAAACTTCAAATACGTATGTTTCATGGCAAAATATTGAAAATAAGGTGAGAAACATTTTGCACATATGGCATATTTTTCATATTCAGAGCTTTACATATAATTGAAAGTTTTTGCATATTTTTCGACTTTTGTCTAAAATAACACAATATGAATTTCCACGTAAAAAATACTTATTAATGAAAAGCATGGACTTGCTTCTTGCTTCAGACACGATAATTCAAAGAGTTTCAGGCTATTGACTGCGAACACCGCCAAAGTAATATCTACAGTCATCATTTATGAAGAAGATAAAGAATTCAAGGAAAGCCTTAGTAGATACACTTGCAATTATTTAGGAGGCAAGGGATACATTCGTGGTAGCTCCAAATAAAATGGGGAAAGCAAATAGGAGAAAAATAAACCGTCCGTGTACGTCAGTCCGTCCGCCTGTGTAAGTCCGTCCGTCCAAGTCCGTTCGTGCGTTGAAGTCGGTGCGCGGGAGTCCTCGATAGGTTTAACGGAATTCAAGGCCCTCTGAATTTGAAATGGATATTTTGATATTCGGGGATTCTTTACATGATGCCTCAATTACATTTTGAAAAATTTCCTCAAAACTGCCCCAAATTTTTGGATTAAACTTTGTCCTCGGATAGCGTAGTCAACGCATAAAAGAATGGTGTAGGTCCCATTTTCGTTGAAATATCCGATTCTTGGAATCTCACATAAGTCCCAAATTTTGTCGACGTCTTCTTACAACGTTAGTATTGAAGATGGAGATTTTTACCTTTAATAAAACCTGTTCTTCAATGAAATATCTTGAAATAATCTTGATAGTATTGAATTTTTCGAAAATATGTCACGTAATATTGCCTGAAATTTAGGTACTTTTTAAACTATTTTCTCAAAAACGGTCTTAAATTTTTTCTTTACTTTTTTCTACGAATATAACAAGGGACACATGAAAGAATGGCATAGGATTTATTTTCGTTGAACTCTGAATTTGTTTTAATTGAAATAGTTAGATATAATGCGCGAAAGTATTTGTTGTTTTAGCACCATTGACATTAATACGATATACCTATAACATAAGTATTTTGAAACTGTGTAGAGGAAAAAATATTAAGAAAATTCTTTTAGTTTTGAATTAACATCATTTACGGAAACACTAATTTGCAAAACGTGTCATCGTAGGTAGAATTTCTGGCTACAGGGTAAGCTGTACCTCTTTGTCCACCGATCACTTGACTGATCACAGAGAGCCATGTAGAATAGTGGGGGAAATACAAATGTTGTCATAGTAATAGTAGAACCACCCACAAGAGCTAAGATCTTGCCAAAATCAGGAATAGATTCTCCAAGAAAAACCATTAAACCAAGAATTACAGTTCTCAGAACACAACGTTTCCAATTAAAATCTGAAAAGATATTCATAAATATAAATATTAATTAAAGATACTAATATTTAACTAAGAGAATTTCGCACAATTTATGCAAATACTGGAAATAATAATTTATGTTCCACATCTTTTCAGATAAGCATATTTTACTTACAACGTGGAATATTAAATCTCTCTTCTAAATCTTGGCAAACTGGGTTGATTACAATCAGAAAAGCCAATACAAGATGTATTGCAAGGAGAATATTCGCCAGAATTATGAACAGACTTTTCTTCAAGTTTAATATAATATTTGTGTTCACTGAATCTCCATACACAGCATAACCACCAGCCGCAACAGGAAGATATAAGATAAGAATAACTGCAACAAAGTATGCACAGTGACAATGAGAACATATAGTTACACTAACATATGCCTCTACAGGGTATAGTACAGAACCTGAAAACACTATGCTACATCTTTTGTAAACGTTTTGTAGATTTCTCTTTTTTGCTAGTTGTGGTAGGAGCTATAAATTAAAATCTGTTGTTCGTTTGTCATGCAAATACATTTTCTATTACTGGGTAGAGAAAATGTCTAGTTTTATAATTTTGCTAACTGCGCTTCCTTTGTTTCATTGTTTCTTACGACAGTTCTTTTATTTTGTGACAGAGGTATTTATATTGAATCAATGTATCAACAGTATTCGCGCTTTGGAATTAATTTATAAAATTTCGAATGATAAGTAAAATGTTTTACTATCAGCCCATTCGCATTACATATACCTATTGACATTAGGGGAAGACTAAAAACTGTGTACGTTGATACAATCGTGGATGTCAGCACAATTGGACAATGGGTTCGTCGCTGTAACGAAGCTGAGGGGCCAACATCGCTGGCTGACGAAAAGTGCAGCGGCAGGTTGAAGACTACAGTCTCTCCAAGTAACATTCAGCAAGTCGATGACGTCATCAGTGGTAATCGGCCGGGTGACTGCAGATGAAGTGAGGAAGATAATGCGATAAAATTCATCACTCTAACAGAGCTGACATCTACTAAAATGTCAAAATATCATTTTCAAAATCAGGGGGACCTTGGGTTCGTTCAGATCGGTCGGGCAGCATCAATTTTGGAGAAAATCAGTTGAACGGTTTTGGCGTTAGCGTTGTCCACGGACAGGCAGAGTGACGGATGGGCGGACGGATGGGCGGACGGATGGGCGGACGGATGGGCGGACG